GGCCCCCAGGGGGGTTTGGGAGGGGGATTTGGCCCCCCAGGGGGGTTTGGGATGGGTGGCAGGGGGGTCTGCTCGGAGCAGAGTGCTGGAGGTTGAGGGATGAGATGCCCTGGAGGGCAGGAGAGGACAGGTCAGGCTGGTGGGATGAGGAGAGGCCTGACCTGCTCTGGTCACAACCCCCCCCTCCAGGGACAGTTTTCGTGGTGCAGTGGGACAAGGTGTACCTGCAGGGGAAGGAGGACATGGGCAGCTTCACCTTCCAGGCAGCCCTGCACAGCAGCGGGAGGATCGTCTTTGGGTACAAGGAGGTGAGAGATCCTCCCCCTCCTGGCACACCTGGGGGCATCAGGTGCCTCCTCCTGCAGGGGAAGGCAGAGCAGGTCCCCACGGGGGTCCCTGTGGGTTTAGGAGGGTGGGGTTGGGGTTGTAGTTCACACCCTGGGGATGGGCATTCCTGGAGGCCTCTGCAGCAGCACCAGGAGCTGGGGCGGGGCTGGGATCCATCCTGTGCTGTCCCCCTGGCTGCAGATCCCAGTGCCAGTGCTGCAGATCAGTGCCACCCAGCACCCCGTGAAGGCCGGGCTCTCTGACGCCTTCATGGTCCTCAACCCTTCTCCCGACGTGCCTGGTGAGTCGCTGCTGGGGCAGGGAGGGAGCTGATCCCACAGGGATCCCACAGGGCTGCCTTGGCAGCTGGGAGAGGGGAGGGAAGGGTGAGACATCCTCACCTTTGGGCACTTCAGGACGTGAGGATGAGCTGCTCGGAATCCCAGGGAGCGGGGGAGTGTGAGGAGGTGTGTGGGGCTTGGCTGTCCTTCATGTCCCGTGTTCCCTGGGCATCCCTCTTGGAGTGCATCCCCCTGGTGCATCTCCCCGTGGCCAGGACCATCTCTCAGCCTCGTGCTCTGGGTGGGCCTTGGTGTGTTCAGACTCTCCATGAGCAGCCAAGCTCTTCCCCAGCTGATGAGGACGAGGGGAAGAATTCAATTCTCCTCGGATTCCAAGAGGGGCTGCAGATAGACAAGAGGCCTGGGGGGTGCAGGGTGCCCCATTCCCATAGGGATGGGGGGTTTGGAGGGTCTGCAGCCACCCTGCTGCTGCTCTGGGTGTCCTTCCACGTGTTTCCACGACTGGGATCTGCACCTCTGTCAGCAGCACACGGGAACACCCCCATCCATGTCCACACGCTCATTCCACGCGTGCCGGGAGCTGCAGGCCTGGGCTGAGCTCCCCAGAAAGGCTCTTCCAGCCTCTCCAGTCACGAGCAGCCCAGCCCTGCTCCTCCCTCCCGGTGTGGAGGCTTTCCCCTGTTGTTCCTGGAGCCATCTGGCCCCGGTTTATGACCCGTTCACAGCAGTTTGTGCAGGAACCGGGGCCAGCCTGGGTGGTTCCTCCCCTCCCGCCCCACAGCTGCTCCTCCACGGGCTGCTCCCTCCACCCCACGGCCTTCCCAAGCCCTGCCCTGGGCTGTGAGGGGAGAAGAAGTGCAAGAACTGGGCATGAAAGAGCCTCACGAGGTGGAGAAGGAGGGGCAGGAGGGGAGGGTGCTCGTCCTGCTCATCTCCTGGGCTCCAAGTGCAGGGCACGTGCCCGTGCTGGGAGGAGAGGTCGGATTGTCCACGGAGATTGATGCCAGAGGAGCATCTTGGCTGGTGCCACCATCTGGGAGAAGCCTGAATCCAAGGATGGACCT